GCTCCTCCCATCCACCTCAGGTGTCCCACACACAGTCCTCTCCCCTCATCACAAGTTTCTACCCCAGCTGAGCTCTGCAAACCCCTCCACACTTCTTGGCACAGCCACAGGCACCACAGTCCTGCAGATCTGCAAGAACACTGACAGCACAACAGGATGTCTTCACCCAAATCTGCACTTCGGCCCAGCTGGTGGGGGGGAGAAGCAAAGCAAAGCCAAACAAAAGCACACACACGCTCCAGGTGAGCCAAATTTTGCAGTGCTAAAATAAGAACCTTTTCTTTTGCCCCTTTTGGATTAGGTTCCTTCCCCAGAACTTTAATTCAAACAACAGAGAGCAGACAGCTGCCACAGGAACAGTCAAAGACATCACTGATGTAACACCACGTTGAGAAGGATGACATAAATGCTCATTGTTTGGCTTGGGAAGAGAGTTGGGAAGCCTAAGGGATTCTGTCATTGGATGGAAACACTGGTTTTGCTCATTAAATAACTGAAAGCACTTGTAACAATGCAGTGTAATAAAAGGTTTCAACTTTTCGGGTTATCTGATTTGAAATCCTGCCACTGGAGAACTGCAGAAATCAAAACAATTACAATATAATAGACTTTCTTTTCCAGACTTCCACCACACTGGATAAATTTAGAGTTTGTTATCATTGAAAGATGTTAATGATTTTAGATAAAAATCAAAGCTCAGGAAGCAATGCTGATTCTGTCTAAACTGAGTTAAGTTTATCTAAAGGAAACCTAACTGTGAAATACAACATTTCTCTGAGTTGAAAAGATAATTCATTAAAAACCTTTAGAAATCCTCCTCTGAAAAGTGCAAACACTCTTAATTTGAACATATGAGATACCACCCTGAGCTCACACCACCAAAACAAAGAAATACGGTATAATTAAGTTTCCTAAATTATTATTTTTCTTTATATTTTACGATTTCTACAGAACATGTCCATGCATCAACACCCAAAAATAACCTCACGGAAACCAAAGAGAAACTAAAGAAAAGCTTAGAAGAGCAATGCAGGTGACACAAAGATATTGCCCTCCTGGTGTTCCCTGCCCATCTCACCTGGAGAGCAGCTGGTCCCATCATCCTGCAAGGTGAAATCTGGGAAACACGAGCACTTGTAGGAGCCCACGGTGTTGATGCACAAATGCTGGCAGAGCTCCCCACCGTAGAGGAGACACTCATCCAGGTCATCTCCAGGCAGGCTGTTGGATAGTTCAGCTTCACTGCTGATGGACAGAGCTTCATTGTGATCCTCCCTCTCTGAAACTACAACAGAACAGCACCTGTTGGTTCTCTGATGGGTGTTTTTGCAGTGGGGCTGGACAGAATGGGGTGTTTGGTCACACAAACTCCAAATAAAGGCAATTACTCCAAGGATAGAGCAAATGAACCCATCCTGGAATAACACCACTGTGCTGAAGGTCCACCTTCTCCCTCTGTAAAGCTGGAAGGACAGACATTTTACAGGAGCCACTGAGAAACAGGGAGACCCTAGGAGGTCACAAGCTCCCCTTTCACACTGACTGCCAACACCCTTGCTATTTGTATTTGAACTAAGGTATCACGCTGAAGCCTCATCTGAAATCGGCCCCATCAAAGAACCACACTGAATTTCAAATTTCAGGAGAAAAATGCACCCAGTTGGTTTGGAAACTCTTCTCAACACCACAGTTTATTGGCTCCTTCTGTACCAGCATCACCAGCAGCCTGGGAGCCACTGAGCAGTGACATGGCTGCCCTATCCACTGCTTTTGAACACAATCCTTTTCCATCCCCAACCCAGTCTGACAAGACTTTCTGTGACACCAAAATGAATTGTTCAGCGAGTTTCTCAGCCAGTTTTTCTTAAATAAACCTTTTCCCTTGTTGGTGAGAGAAAATACACATTTAGTTCATGAGACCAAAATTGTACCCTCACATATGCAGGAGGTTACCATGAAACTCGTGTGACAGGTGGGTACAGAGTGATGCCAGAGAGAACGTGATCTTGGGCTGAGCCTCATGGCTGTCCAAGCTCCAGATTTGCCACGTTCCCTTTGTCAGGCCTCTCTGGCTGCAGGATTTGCCTCAGCTCTTCAGCATCACTATGTTTATATGTTTAAAGTGTGAAAACACACTTGCAGTGCTCTGGGGCTGTTCCAGAGTGTGCTGTGAGAAAGCTGCCATTCTGTATGAACATCTACTCCCGGGATGTTTCACTGATATCACAGTCCATGGGATTACTTGGAGTGGACAAAAGTCATCCTTTGCTTTATACAGAATCCTGCAGGATTGCTCCTGCTAAAACACACCTTCAGTTTGCTCCTTATGGAGGGCTGGTGGAGGCCTCTGGACTGTGTGACTCGGGGGAAAACCAAACAAAACACCAAACTGCTCAAGAAGGTCTGTTTAAGGATCAGAAACATCCACATATTCTTTGCTTTTTTAAAAGTGTTTTAAGAACAAGTCTATACTTGATCTGAGAGGCAAAGCAACTGTTCACACTACTTCTTCCAGCAGCTCCCTGTATGACCTTGTGACACACAGACCTTGTCTGTGATGTCTCCAAATGATAAATGGGCACTTACCCTTCTCAGGTGTCACTGTTGGCAGGGGCTCAGGATGCCTTTTGATTTCTGGATGGATGAAGTGGTCCCCCCCCTCACAGCAGGACAGCATCACATGGCTGCAGGGGTAGCCCAGGTTGATGTTGGACTCGCAGGTTTTGCCCTCACTCCTCAGTCTCAGGCCCAGACTGCAGCAGTCACAGCATTGCTGCAAGGGAAGGGCACTGTCAGGAACAAGGATTTGGGAGCACTGGCACAGGCTGCCAGGGCAGTGGTAGAGTCACCAACCCTGGAAGTGTTCAAAACACATGTGGATGTGGTGCTTGAGGACGTGGTTTGATGGTGAACATGGTGGTGATGGGTTCATGGTTGGACCTGGTGATCTTAGAGGGCTTTTCCAACCTTAACAATTCTCTGATTCTGTGTTTTAATACAGCTTCAGGGATGAGCCCCCACACATCTGGAACTGATCTGCACTTCCCTCAGCATCTGGAAAAGCACTTTGGGTTTAGACAGTTGCAAACATCAAAGCTTTACTTGTGCTTGTTTTTGCCATTCTGCACAGAGGGGTCAACTGCAGCCCCAGTAAACACAAAGTCTGGCTGTGCCAGGGATTTCAGCAGCTCCACGTGCAAGGAAGGAGTGGTGCCACAGACCAGCTCCTCCCAGCTCTTGCACAGCCATTGCTCGTGTGTGGTATGAATAAAAATCATAAAGAAAACAACATAGATCTACACCTCTTAGCATTAGAGCTCAAGAAATGATCAGTTGTGGGACACAATGTGACAGGAATTGGAAAGAGCCTGCACGGACAGGAGGATCAGCAGCACCTGAGCCCTGTCAGGGTGTCAGGAAAGACTTTCTCTCTGCACCACTGCCCTGCAAACCTGCTGTGACCTTTAATTACCTGACTGTGCTGGGCACATCCTGCTGAGACAGTGGCTGGAGGAAGGCCAGGGTGCATTTCCTGAGCTATTTGCCTTCCTTTTCCTTCCTGAGAGCATCCAAGCAGCAGCAGCTTTGCTGACAGGTTGATGCAATGGGGCCTCCCACCTCTTGCAGTTTTATCTGCTGCAGGTGGCAGACAAAACCTGTGTGGTGCTTTACTGAGTCCCATACAGACCCACTGCACAGTCAGGCCACAAACCCACATCAGACAAATGATATCAAATTCAAAAAGACTATACTGTGCATGCAGAGAGGACACCTAACCCAGCAGGGAAGGTGAGGAGCTGGGAGTCTCTGCTGCAGAGACAGCAGGGGTCGTGTGGGAATTGAAGATGCTTGTCTGGATTTAGATTTAAAATGTCCTCTTATATTTATATATTTTAATATATTTTATATATTTTAATTTTTTTATATATATATATATATATACACATTAAACTGTCAGATTAGTTATAAAATCTTTCCCTCTGCAACTCCTCTGATAATCATCCACTCCAGTAACTCATAAAACAGCCTCTCTGAACCCAGAGAGGTGATTTCAGTCTATCCAAATATTCAGCCAATGCAAAGGATCAGACACAGAAAAGAAGGTAATGATTTGAGCTGGCACCAGTGAGCTCTGCCAACAGAAAGTCCAGGGCTGGAGAAGCAGCAAATTGAACTCAGCTCCCACTTCCCAGGAGGGAGATCCCTCACCTGAGGAGGGCAAGTAAGAGAAGGCTGGATGAGCATGGAAATGGGAAGGAATCATGTTTCATGATTAGCAATCCCAGGGGGGCATTCCCATTAAATCAGAGCCTGTCTCCCGTAGGGAAATGGGAAACTCATCCACTGACAGCTCAATCTGCAGAAACTCCTCCACAAAGTCACTTTTTTCAAGACTCAAATGCTGCAGCTTTGGGGTTTCTTGAGCATTTCACACAATACACAGCGTTGCATGTTCAGCCAATACTTATGGCTACAGCTCATAGTTTATGTCCCTGCTTCCTAAACCAAAAAATCCCTAAATATCATAACTAGCAGACGTTACTCACGTTTGCAAATATGCACAGCCAGAAGGAGTTGCCTTTACGTGCTCAAATACATGTTTGTGAAAAATTTACAGTACAGGTCCTGAGGAAGATGAATTATTTTGGACACTGAATAGCTAAATCATCTTTCCAAAAGAAGTTTTAAAAATACCCAACCTAGTTATAATGGATTGTGGTCGTGCTAGAAAAGGGAAAATTCCTGTTTCCTTCCTCCCCAAATCCAGAATCCTCAAATTCAAAATTTTATGGAAAGAAAATCCTATTTTCTGTAATTTTTTTAAATTTTGTCTCCATTTTTTTTCAGCTTCAGTATGCCAAACAGAAGTTCAGGGTAGTACGTGGTTTTACCGAAGTACTATAAAATACGTAATATTTGCCTTGAAGAACCTGGCTTCTTTCAGTCATAGTTTGATTCCCAATTTATCCCATGTGCAGGTGTGATAGGGAGTGTTAAATCAGTCAGACACCTTTAGGTTCACATATTTTCCAGGTGAACAAAACAGTCTCATTTTCCAGTGGAAAAACTTGTTCGCTGAAAAGTTCCTTCTACAATGCAAAAACTTGAATGCCTTGATCTTCTATCAACTACTTTCTGAACTGCACAGGAATTCTACGGCTGATATGATAGAAAATGAAACTATTTTAACCTTCCAGTTGAGAAACATACCTTGAGAACCATTCTGTGGTTCACACCTTTCTATGTTCCTCTCACAACTATCTTTGCTGGAATCCAGCATAACTGGATTTGCTATGGTGGTATCTCCATCCTCTAGGAAAATATCCCTAAGCATGTATTTTTTGTATAAAATGAGAAAACCTTTCTTGTGATACAAAGCATTAAAAACCTTTGTATGTTTGATTATATAAAGTTTGATTATTTTCTATTACAATAGTACATATTGTAATACAAAAGAAACACGAAGTCTCAACAGTCTCGATGTTTATTGATTTAAATTCTTTTTTTTCAAGCAGTAGCTGCAGTGACTGAAGAGCTGAATGGGCTAAATAGGTGAGCAAAGCTGTTCCTTCAGTAATTTTACCATTTCAAATGGTTTCTCTTGAAGGAAAACATCCCACTGGAACTGTCATGAGGAACCATTCCACAAAAGTATTTTGTCCCGTGTTTCAATTCAGACAGGAATGAGGGAGTTATCCCTCTCCACTTCTTCCTGAGGAATGACTGTGTAATCAGATTTACTCTACAGCTTGGGCTCTGCCTGGCATGCAAACAACCCCTGGGGAAAACCTAAGAATAGCAATTCTCTCCCATTTCAAACATTAATGTCTTCTCCCAAATGCACAAATTCTCTTTTTACTCTACTGATACACTGCAGACCCAAATAAACAGTAGTTCTGAAAATGAGAAATTGGTATAGCTAAATAAACTTCAAACTCCCCAGTAGATGGCCATGGATTTTGCCTCCCCAGTGAACAATTATCTGGGAGAATCACCAGTGTACCAGGACAGACAGAACTAATCAGGTTCCTGCTGAGACGATGGAAGCTGTATTTAAGCTCAGCTCTAGCCCTGGACATTATTATCAGAGGGAAACGAATTCCACAATGCACCCTTCTGGTGGAAACAAGACAAGTGAGCAAGCAAGCTGCTGAATCTTCAAACTGGTTTAAATTGGTTGGGCTCCAGTGACTCTCATAAAGCAAATCTCATTTATCCAAGCGGGGGCTGTGGCTCAGGGTTTGTGATTTGCAGTGTTGGTTAATGGGCTGCCTTTTTTTATGAGCAAAAGCTTCCATCACCATCTAAATGCTTGCTCCTCTAGTCCATCATTGTGTTTAAAAATGGGGTCACAATTCAACATTGGGGCCAAGTAAACTGTCCAGTAATGGGTTTTGCATTATATCTTCAATTAAGTTTTTCCCCATCATTTTCTAAACTCTTCTACACAACAGATATAGAAACTAAAATGGACTTTTCAGCTACTTCCAAAGTGAGGAAGCAAAAGTAATACAACCAGTTAAGTCTACAGAATGGAGATGGAAAGAATTCAAAACAACATTACTGTAAAATTTTAAAAGGGGTTGTAAACCTTAATGCAAACAACCTAATGTCCCTGTTACATTCCTGCAACCTTATCTTTTCTGTGCTCCACAATAATGCATGAACCATTTCCTGCTAAATGCAGGAAATGAGGACACCTCATGCTGGGAACAAAACCTGCAGAAGCAGCAGAGCAGCTCACCTTGTAGGATGACCCCGTGCAGGGGTCACCGTCCTCGGGGCCGCACGTGTCGCCCTCCTTGGCAGCGACCATCCCGGCCAGGCAGCTGTTCTCCCGCACCGTGGACACACAGCACTGCTTCTGGGCAATCCTGCAGAGGGGCAGGGAGAACACAACAGCATGGCATGCAAAACCCCCCTGAGCTACTGGATTCATAACACATTCCACAGATTCGGTCTCTCCGACAGCTGGGGCAGAGGAGGGGCAGGGACTGAGCTCTGCTCTGGGGGGACCAGGGACAGCAGCCAGGGAATGGCTGGAGCTGTG